TTGGGTGTCGGAGGGGAAGAGGTGGTTGCTGAAAATTTGTGTGGCTTCTTCTCCGATAAAAAATAGCAAGACTGAATTAACCACGTGATACGTATAACTTCATTTGATTGGTCCAAACTATAAAATCTAGCCGAAAATGCATTGGGCACCCGAAAGGGAAACAACTGATATGAAAAATTACATAAGTTATTAAAATTATAAAATTTTGTATATAAAACAATTTATTGTACCAATAAATATTTATTTATATCCACAAATTTTCCTGATAATTCGACAAGACAATTTCTGGCTATTCGAAGCTCGTTTTTGCTTAACTTTTTGTTTAAATTACTAAAAACACAATTGAGTGAAACTGTAATTTAGTCAAATAACAAATGACTAAGAATAAAATCTATAATACATATTACACAAAGTTATATAACAATTAATTGGCTGGGCTTAAAATAAAATATACAGTTAATAAAAAATTGACTAGTTAAACATACAGATTAGTCACATGACATAAATTTTCCTAATTACATGACAAAACACAGCCCAGCCAATAATATAATGGTAAAAAACACTTAAAAAGCAAAAAGGTGGTCACAAAGAGGTCATAAAGGAAGAAACATGCTGGCTAATAGCATATGACATATCAATAAGGGCGATTTGCTTGTCTTTTCCAAAATTTATAGCAATACAGTGCTGCATAACCTGTAGTTTTAAATTTTTAAAATAGAACATTTAAAACATGTTTTTTTTAATTCTTTTAATTAATGAATAATAAAAACTGTTACAAATCACTGTTTTTTAATTATATCCAAAGGGAAATCCCATTTAGCTGTGTCATTTTTGTACTTTCTCTCTAGTTAGAATCTAAACGAGTCAAAGTCTTTGAATTTATGGACTGTTCAATACAATTACATATTCTAACTACCTTAACTCCAAATTTAATACAATTTTTATGATTAAGGTACGGTCAAATTGCTTAATATCCAACACTTTACTTTGGTCATATGTCTTTGCTAATTGTATTACAGGAAATGGAACGGTAACATCGACATGTTTTGACATATCATTGATGTACAAATTAATAAGAAACACGACAAAAGTTAGAAAACCGAGGAAAGACTGGGGAGAAACTCCAGATGACACAGATATAGAACCGGCTGACGACCTGGAACGAGTCCGAATCTGTCGAAACTCACTTTGCCATGGGTCACAGTCAATAAGCGATACCGAATTTAAAAAGAAATGGAAAGAATTGAAGGAGGTAAAAGTGATTTTCGTGTCAGCCCAAAATTTATAAAGTTGAAAAAAATATATTCGTTCTATTTAAAAACTCTGTTCTTTGAAATGGTATCATAACATAAATCTTTCTGAAATTCGATAATACTGAGGAAAAACGACGATGTATATACACCTGTATCTATATTAAATCTGACACATTTAATCGATTCTGACAAAGTGTCAAGTCTGGCCCATCCATGGCGTAATCGTGTATAGAATCTATAATATTTTAATTATTTGATTTTAAGATCATACAAAGACTTGCTAAAGGTCAACTGGACGGAGAAATATATTCCTTACAGAACAAAGATCTAGATTACTCAGCACGGTCGTCTGTTAAACGATTCCTTGCAGATTTCATGGAAAGACTTCAAAACGTAGAAAAATGCATAGGGGATCACATTCCGAAGAACATAAGAGGTATATTTTGTGCTTTTCAAAAATCATGGATATTGATTTTCAGTATTTTTATTAAACAAGAGGCCCATCATCTGAGTATCATTCGACAACTTTCAAACAATTGAATTTGATTCATGTTTAAAACTAGAGGCCATGAAATTCATAATTTTGAAAGAAGCACCATTGCTTATCATAATTATACACAAAGCATGCTTATTTTTGTAATTTAAAACCCAGAGATAAATCAGAGTAAGAAAGAGAAAATGCATTTCCACTTTTAGTGAATTTCAGGGCCCCTGGGTCAGGGCTTCTTCTGTTAGGGCGGGTCCACAGTTGAGCTCCCCATCCCACAGGAACCACTGACCCTGGGGCCACATCTTTCAAAATTTTGGAATTTTTTAAAAATTTTATTTCATCATGCTGTTAATTAATATCAAAGTGCAAACTTCAAAGCATTAAATTATTTCAGACTATGCTCCCCCCAAGTACCTCTGTCCCAGAGGACAGGAAATTAATCATTTTTGGAAGAAGCAGGTTTTTTTTTTCATAAATATATACTAAAATCATTGGCATTTTACCCAATAACAAAGGAAAAGATTTTCAAAGAATTCAAGCATTTTCACTATATAAACATTAGAGCCCTGTCCTAACACAAGAAGCTCTAACCCAGGGACCCTGAAATTCAAAAATCTGAAAGCGGCATCCTTTCTCCTCATAACTATGTACATAGTTTATTGGTTAGATACTCAGCGATACTCAGGTTAAAGAATTTATGCATTTTCACTATATATTTAATAGAGCCCCGCCCTAACACCAGAACCCCAACCCAGGGGCCATGAAATTCACAATTTTGGAAGAGGTATCCTTATATAACACAACTATGTAATTGGTTAGATTATTTAATACTCAGGAGCATATATAAGAAGAAGATTTTAAAAGAAATAATTCATTTTTTACTATTTAATCTATATAGCCCCGCCTTAACACTAGAACCTCTGACCCTGGGGCCATTAAATTCACAATTTGAGAAGAGGTAGTCTTATTCAACATAGCCATGCACTTGGTTAGTTTATTTAATGCCCATGAACATAGAAGAAGAATTTCAAAGAATCTTTGCATTTTCACTATATAATTTATATAGCCCCACCCTACCACTAGAACTCCTGACGCTGGGGCCATTAAATTCACAACTTTGGAAGAAGCGGTCATTTTCAACTTACCTATGCACTTGGTTAGTTTATTTAATGCCCACTAACTGAAAAGAAGAATTTCAAAGAAATAATGCATTTTCACCATATAACCTGTTTATCCCTAGAACCCCTGACCCTGGGGCCATGAATTTCACAATTTTGGTAGAGGACTCAATGCTGATTACAATCATACCAACAGTTTAACGGCTTGATATCCAGGAGTAAAGAAGAATATTTTTAAAGATTGCACTACTAATTTTATTGGTTTTTGCCTTACCCACCCATCCCCACGCCCCAGGGGGGCAGGGACCATGAAATTCACAATTTTTGTTCCCCTTTACCTATAAATCCTATATGTTGAATGTGATTGAAATTGGTTCAGTTGTTTCTGAGAAGAAGCTAAAAATGTTCAAATGTTAACGCACGACGACGAACGAAAACAGATAGCAATAGGTCACCTGAGTTTACTCAGGTGACCTAAAGAAATAAACAACAATGATAAAAAGTTCTCTGAAAAAAGATCTTTTAGTTCGTCACGTGATCAAACCCTGTGAAGCCCGAAGGGCTTCTCAGTAGATTTGATCACGTACCAACTAAAATTTCATTTCCCACTGAAATTTTTAACACTGTTATTTATAACTTATATTTACATTTAACATGTTTAAGACGAAAAAATTTCGAAAAAAATGCATTATAACAAAAACGGGCTACCGTTTGTCTGTGTTTTGTCTCTCAATAACCTTTGAGTAGTTTGGTCTTGAAAGTTCACCTCGCTCTAATATTTGAATGTTTACATACATGTTTAGCAGTCCAGTAAGGAAATATCTGTATATAGTGAACGAACAATGATTGCTGCTGAGGAAAATTTTACTGTTTCATATAAGTTCTTAAAGTATTTGAAGTCAAAAACGGTAGTATCACCTGTTTTAATTCAACTAACTCCAAAGAATTTAGGGTTAAAAAGGTAAGTGCGGTTCTATGCTAATTATAGTATGCGAAACCTTATTCACATCGAAAGAAGTTTGATGTACATCTCGTGATTGGAAAAATATTCATATTGTTTATCATATTTATCATCTTTAACAATTATTCCAAAACAAGTTTCACCGTGACAGATATATGTAGACAAAATATATAACCTCGCTCTGTGATTTGGCCGCGTTATTAGTAATTCACAAATTAAGAATTTAACATATTTTCTCTCCAATAGATTCATCTAAGAAAGCTATTTGCAAATGTAAATACTAATAATTATTGATATCCTCCGCATTTACTCTCTTTAAGTCATGACTATAATACTAAAATAAAAAAAATTAACATTTCATCATATGCAATAATTTCATTGAATTAATCAATATTCTTTATTGAACTGTTTCAATATTGAAACTCTGATTAATACTTTCGAATTTTGCTTTTATACCTTTTGGTTTAATCTTTATTATGATAATGTAAAAATAGACTTTTTAAAGAAAAAAGTTTATTTTATCCCCGTTTGAAAAGTGGGAGTGTATATAGAGATCGATATGTCCGTCCGTCTATACGTCCGTCCGTCCTTCTGTCCGTCTGTTACGTTTTGGTGTATCCATTTTATTTAATCCTCAACTGCTCTTATACCACTGATTGAAATTTAATCAGAATTTCAAAGAACCCTTGTTGCATAATGCCATCGTGCATTTTACTATTTCATTTTTTTATTCGACCCATATGTCGGGTTTCCAAAGCAAACCATTAACACTGACATATTTTCTATTATATTGAAGAGTACCCAAACACGTTATGCGTTTCGTGAACTTTATTAATATCATTCCGTAAATATTAATTTACTTTCGGACGGCTACGTTTTGTTTTGATTTATTAATATCATTCCTAAATATTAATTTACTTTCGTTTTGTTTTATGAGATTTCCAAAAATAAATCAGTTTGTTATACCGTTAACTGAGCTGCTGTTGTGTTTTAAGATCGTGCACCAAAGCTGCACGCTGTACGGTGTTTTAGCATTTTAAACACTGCTGTTTCTATTGAAATATACTTTACGGAAGTGAAACATGGTGTCAGAAGTGCTGCTGTGGTAATTATACTGCTTTTGATCCTGAAATTAACTTTCTATCTGTGACCTGTGTTTCCCACGTGCTTTCTACAAAATGGCGTTCGCTGAAAGACTTGCGCCGCCAGGGAAAATAAAATTCAACAGCAAGAATCTCGCTGAAGATTGGCGTAAATGGAAAGAGGAGTTCAGTCTCTACGTTTCTCTGACTGTGAAAGATGAAGAAGCATCTAAGCTGCAGTTATTCAAGTACCTGATAGGGAGTGATGGTCGAGAAATCTACAACACTCTGAAATTCGAGAAAGAGGAGAAGGATAGAACTCTAAAAATGGCGCTGGAGGCATTCGACAAGTACTGCCGTCCAAAGAAAAATGAAACTGTCGAAAGATTCAGATTCAACACTCGCAAACAGGAGGCAGGTGAGACAATCGAAACTTATATCACCGAGTTGAAAACATTAGCATCTACTTGCAATTTTGGTCAAGTTGCAGACTCTCTCATAAGGGACAGAATTGTATGTGGTATAGTAGACACCAATCTTAGGGAGAGACTTTTAAGAACACCCGATCTCAGTTTAGACAAATGTGTAGACATGTGTAGGGCTGCGGAAATCACAAAACAGGGCATCAGTGTGCTAGACGGAAGTAGCACTCTCACTCCAGTTATTAATAAAATAAACAAACAGAGTACCCGTAAACCTGACAACAACAAAAAACAGACTAGTGAGAAACAAAAACATAAACAGTGCAAATTCTGTGGCAAGTATCATGAACTAAAGAAAGAAAAATGCCCCGCATACGGACAAACTTGCAGAAAGTGCCATAAACTCAACCATTTCGAAAATAAGTGCTCATCATACACTAAACATGGGCCCACAAAGATCACGAAGAAGAAAGTTCATGCAGTAGACTTTGGCGAAAGCTCCGACTCAGATGATTATTACCAGTCGAACTCTGTCACTAACTTAGACGAAGTCGCATCTGTGAACTCTTTGAACTCCAAAATAGCACAGGCAACCATGCTAATCCAAGGACAGAAAGTCAGATTTCAGCTTGACACAGGAGCTACTTGTAACATTCTACCTATAAACCATTTGCATCATGTTCCTCCTCTGCGCCCAACCAACTATAAGCTTCGCATGTACAATGGCACAACGATTAAGCCCCTTGGAAAACTTGCGCTATCAGTGACCAACCCCAGAAACCAGATCACTCAGGAAGCTGATTTCGTTATCATCAAAGACAACTGTACGCCTCTACTAGGTAATGATACACTTCAGGATATGGAACTACTACAATGGAATAGTGAGAACATTCTAGCCATTTCCAACTATTCACCTATCACCAAAGAGCAGTTGCTCACCGAGTACAAGGACGTGTTTGAAGGCATTGGACGTTTGGAAGGAGACTATCATCTTGTTGTTGACAAGTCCATTCCTCCAGTTGTACACCCTCCACGGAGAGTTCCTCTAGCTCTTAAAGCACAGCTGAAAGATGAACTTGATCGTCTAGAGAATCTGAACATTATCGCTCAAGTGAGTGAACCTACACCATGGGTTTCTAGTTGCCTCATGGTTGTCAAGCCGAATAAACTGCGGATATGTATTGACCCAAAAGACTTAAATAAAGCTCTGAAGCGTAGTTATTATCCGCTACCTACTATTGAGGAAGTTCTTCCACAGTTAACCAAGGCCAAAGTTTTCAGTATCCTTGATGCCAAGAATGGGTTCTGGCATGTCCAGATGGATCATGAAAGTTCACTGTTAACTACATTCAATACGCCCTTCGGACGCTATCGCTGGCTGAGAATGCCCTTTGGCCTGTCTACAGCCCCTGAAGAATACCAGAGGAGACAAGACCAAGCTGTTGAGGGATTGACGGGTATACATAGTGTAGCAGACGACATCCTTGTATATGGGGAAGGAGAAACAGAGGAAGAAGCTATTGTTGACCACGACCTAAAATTACGAGCTTTGATGAACCGGTGTCGAGAACGTGGACTCGTTCTAAACAAAGACAAACTTCGATTACGACAGAAGGAAGTGCGATTCATTGGACACCTTGTTACATCAGAAGGTCTGAAACCTGACCCTGAAAAGGTGAAAGCAGTTAAAGAGATGCCGAATCCTGATGATGTTGCTGGTGTAAGGAGATTTCTTGGATTTGTGAACTATCTTAGCAAATTCTTGCCATCCCTAAGTGATTTGTGTGAGCCACTTAGGAAACTTACGCTCAAAGACGCTGAATGGAGCTGGCATGAGGTCCATGACAAGGCTGTGTCAGACATAAAACAGCTAGTCATTTCTGAACCAGTGCTTAGTTACTTTGATCCTAACAAAAGCTTAACTCTTCAGTGTGATGCCTCAGAAACTGGACTGGGAGCCACAATCTTACAGGAAGGAAAGCCTGTTGCTTTTGCAAGTCGTGCATTGACTGACACAGAGACTCGGTATGCACAGATCGAAAAAGAGTTATTGGCAGTGGTATTTGGACTTGAAAAATTCCACCAATACACATATGGACGTGATGTGACTGTTCAGAGTGACCACAAGCCCTTGGAGATTATCCTTAGAAAACCACTTCACATTGCACCTAAACGACTTCAGAGGATGCTATTGCGTTTGCAAAAGTACACTATACACTTGGCATATCATCCTGGGAAAGAAATGTACCTAGCTGACACTTTGAGCAGGGCATACCTAAGAAACAACGACCAGACTGGCACACTTGAAGAGGAAACAATACATCTGGCACGATTTCTCCCTGTGATCAAAGACAGACTTCAGGAACTGAGACAAGAAACTCGGGAAGACAAAACACTAGTAGAGCTGACCAAAGTTATTCTCTCAGGATGGCCAGAAATCTCTGCGTGTGTTTCAGCTCCCCTACAGCCATACTTCAACATTCGTGACGAGTTGACAGTACAAGACGGCATTGTATTTAAAGGAGAGCGCATTCTTATCCCAGAGTCTATGAAAATGGACATGTTGCGCCGTATTCACTCATCTCATATTGGAGTTGAAGGAAGTCTCAGGAGAGCTCGTGAAAATTTGTTCTGGCTTGGTATGACCAAAGATGTGAAAGACTTTGTGACTAAGTGTGATACCTGTCGTTCTCTTGATGACAAACAGAGGAAAGAGACCCTCGTAAGTCATGATGTACCCACACGTCCATGGGCCAAAGTAGCTAGTGACCTATTTAGCTACAATTCGAAGGAGTACCTTGTGACTGTTGATTATTTCTCTAACTTTTGGGAGGTTGACTATCTTCGCAACACTAAGTCGAAGACTGTAATTCAGAAACTGAAGGCATTGTTTGCACGCTATGGAATTCCAGACACCCTTGTATCTGACAATGGGCCCCAGTTTGCCTCTACTGAGTTCCAACAGTTCGCCAAGGAATGGGAATTCAGTCATGTGACTAGCTCACCGAAGTACCCCCAGAGTAATGGAAAAGCTGAGCAAGCTGTCAAAATGGCCAAAAGATTGCTGAAACGAGCCTTGAAATCTCAGTCTGATCCTTATCTCTCTCTGCTAGATTTTCGTAACACACCTACTCAAGGAATGGATACCAGTCCAGCTCAGCGTTTGATGAGTCGACGCACAAAGACACTCTTGCCTACAAAGGAGACCCTCCTAGTTCCGGAAGTTTATCCGTTGAAATCTCAGGAGAAGCAATTAACCTCTCTGAAGCGAAGACAAGCTTTGTACTATAATCGAGGAGCAAGAGATCTACGACCACTGGATATTGGAGAAAAGGTGCGTATAGCGCCACCAGAAACATTAGGACATACTGACAACGAATGGAGAAAAGGAACTGTGAAACATTCACTAGGAAACAGATCGTATGAAATTGAATCTAATGGACAGACATACCGTAGGAATCGTCGTGACCTCCGTCCAAGTCAACATGCTGACACAGACGCTCACATACATGAGGACATTGATGACAAACCCGTCCAGGAACAACCTATCAAGGACGCATTAACTGGACAAACATCTGTGAATCCAACCTCAAAACCTACCAGTGCACCCCAGAGTGATACTGCACCTCCACTTACCACAAGATCAGGTCGAATCATTAAGGAACCATCTCGATTCAAGGACTATGTGAATTAGACTTCAGTTTAGATTCATTTGCTAGTCATGAGTAAGCCGTGTTATAAGGGCACAATAATCCCTTGACTTACTCACCCTTGAGCAAGAAGCTCAATATTATGTTTTTGTGAGATTACTTTGCATATGTAGTTAATTGTCTCGCACATTTTAACTATAACAGAATTTCTATAAACTCAAAGGAAGGAAGATGTAACACGTTATGCGTTTCGTGAACTTTATTAATATCATTCCTAAATATTAATTTACTTTCGTTTTGTTTTATGAGATTTCCAAAAATAAATCAGTTTGTTATACCGTTAACTGAGCTGCTGTTGTGTTCTAAGATCGTGCACTAAAGCTGCACGCTGTACGGTGTTTTAACATTCTAAACACCGTTGTTTTTATTGAATTATACTTTACGGAAGTGAAACACAGGTAGATGTTTAGACTGCAAGATCAAATGCATGACGTCAGGGCAATGTTTAAACAATTAAATATAAAAATAACCAATTTGAAATGAGTATTTTAGTACTTAAATTCATTATACGCACGTTTTCAAAGATTCGGAGAAGTATTGTTTTAATTGCTTTGTCCATCTTTCTGTCTGTCTGTCTGTTTTTTCGCAATAAAAACTTTAACCTCATTCATTACTTTTGCTTAATTAGAGCAATAATATTCAACATTTGTATCTCTTGTGATAAAGCATTTCGCATTTGACCTCTTGACCTTCACTTTGGAGTTTTTTTGCCCAGTTTGGCAAGAATTTAACAAATTTTGACCCTGGTATTACCTTTGAACAGTTGATGCTAGGGCGTTAATTCTTACTTTACAATTGTATTCAACTTTCCAAGGAAATATATATATATTTAACTTTGAACTTTGAGTTTGACCCAGTTTCAAAAACTGTTACATTGGACATACGTTTTGAAGAGTTAGTAGGAGTGCCTCAATATTTCACAGATTTATTTTTGTGCAAAGGTCTTTATTTGGATAACAACAAGTTTGACCTTGGCCTAGAAGATTTACCAACATTTAAAAAATAATAATGGCCATTACTCTTGAATTGCTTATGCTTGACTTAACATAATTTATATATATATTCACTAAGAAAGATCTTTATTTGGGTAACATTATTCATCTCCCAATTGATACTGCAAATCCTTAACAAAAATACTATAATTAACTGTAGTAAACTATAAATAAATATTTTAAATAGAGTAAAACGAAGCTTTCAATTTACATGTATGATCAAATTGCCAAAGGGATAATTAAACTTATTTTTAATGTTATCACCATAGTTCATAAAATATTTCATCATACATGTATTTACATTTGCAAATATCTTTCTTAGATGAACCTATAGAAGGGAAAATATGTTTAATTCTGTGTGAAAGATATTTGGGGGTCAGATGTCATAACGCGACCGAATCACAGAGCGAGGTGATATTTTGTCTTTATGTTTCTCTCACGGTGCAAAATGGAATATTTTTAAGTTAATAACGATGAAAAGGATAAAATGTTAACAATTATTTTTCAATTACGAGATGTACAATAAATCTTCTATGATGTGAATAAGGTTTTGAATACTAAAGAGTAGTCTAAAATCGCAATAACCTTTTTAACCTGAAAATCCTGTGGAGTTATGTAAACTAAAACAGGCGATATCACCGCGTTTGACTTCAAATATTGTGTAAGACCTCATGAATTAATTAGATTATTCTCAGCTCCGATCAGTGTTTTTTTTTCACTATATACAGATATTTCCTGAACTGTACTGCTGAGCATGAATGTAAACATTCAAATGTTGGAGCGAGGTAAACTAGCTTTGACCAAACAACATCTAGGTCATTGTTCGTCACAACATAGCAATACGGCGACCCGTTCGTGTAATAAATGCAATTAAGCTCGAAATATGTTCGTCTCAAATGTAAATATAAGTAATAAATAACAATGTTAAAAAGTTCACTGGTAAAAGAACTTTTAGCTGGTAAGTGATCAAATCCACCGAGAAGACCTTCGGGCTTCACAGGATTTGATCACGTTACCAATTAAAAGTTCATTTCCCAGTGAACTTTTTAACATTTTTGTTTATTTCTTAAGGTAGGACAAAACACCCGTGGATTTTATTTTAACCAATTTCTTACAAGTACTGGTGAAAAAAGAATAATATTACTAAATTGACAACAATAAATGATCCCTGTAAGAAAAATAATAATAAGTTTTGGCATGTTTGCATCATATTTTGTGAAAAAAAAATCAGAGAATCCTCTCTATTAGTCACTTGGGAGCTTACAATTTCGAATGTGTTTACGCTTTTTTAGTGCAATAAACAAGCATGTAATAGTCTGTTATAAAATGCAGTGTAACTTTTTTGTTCCATAAATACATGTAGTAGAGGGCTGATATTTGGACACATATATAAAGAATCTCCATTCGTTATGTACTAAAAAGGTCAAGGTCATATCTAGAGGTCAAAAGTCAAATATTGTGACGTCATCCACTGAATCTTTAAGTGTTTTTGCCATTGAATTTATTTAAATCTCCAAAATATTTCAAACCAGTGGTTCAGTTTTCTTTATTTATACACATTTTATTCCAGGACCCATTTAAATCATTCTGTTTATTTTTTTAAAAATTGAATCATACATTCTCTTTAGATAACTTAAACTGTCGGAAATTTACATGTGAATTTTCAATTTCAACACTACGCATGTTGTATTTTTACGTAATATTTTACTCAAATCTCCAAGTATCAATATGACTTACTGATTTAAAGTAACAAAAAGGTTATCTTTATTAAAAGTATTACACAAATACGCAATAGATCAATAATTGATAATTTTAAAATTAGGCTTATTTTCAAGTCGAGTGTCTGATTTCACAATCTTCTTACGGGGATCTGATAGGCCATATTTCAGACTATGTGGGCAAAACAATGTGTGATTGAATTTCTTTCATATCATATATAAAGAGAGATTTCGTATCCTAGAACAAAATATCAAAGTTTCAGAAAAATTGAATTTTAGGAAAAGTTTGGCCTATATATTGTGTCCTACCTTAAGTGAACACTATAGTTAATCTTTTTTAAGTTATCACTAAATATCAAAATTAAATACATGTAATGAACACTATAGTTAGTCAAAGCTTTCATAGTTAATGCAATAGAAAATCAAACTTTTCATAGTTATAACTATAGCAAATCAAAGTTTAAATGTCTGCATGAAAGTTGTCATGATAACCAAATTCAGTTTTTAATCTATTTCTAAATTATGTAATTGGTATGTTATTTAATTGTACATCATGGGTAGTATCCAGAGTTGCAGATTATCTCAACCTACCAAGGAGATCTCTTGATTTCCTCTCTTTTCAATTACTCCATGCACTTTGAAGGCAAATTATTTTCTACAATTTATTTAAGTTTTTTGGGAAAAAAAGGTTTTCAAAATTATTTTACTGGAAGCATATTTAAAAAATGAATATTGTGTGTCTTTGATTTCAATTCTCTTTTTCTGTCGGTTATTAAGCTCATTTAATGTTGTATATAAACATGATAAAAACTGCGGCAGAGGCACCAATGCACGACAAACACTGAATAGTAACAAAAGTAGTGCTCGGATATAAACGGTAGACAAAAACATTCCATAAGGACAAAAACGGAAAAACACAAAAAAGTTTACGAACATATATACATATAATCTATGTAACGACACACTGTCTGTCGGTCCGTCAATCCCTCCGTCTGTCACATATAATATCTCACGAACTGTAAGAGTTATAGATTTGAGATTGTGCACATATATAGCTTAGCACAATGGTTTTTATATTATTACCGATTTCTTGGTAACCGACCCAGTTTCCTTGAACCTTACCTTAGACCTAATTTTTGAAATAGTTGACAATGCCAATAATCATTTTTTTTTTAAATATTAGAGATAAGTATATGCTATTTAAATTGTGCAATGTTTGTCATAAAACATCATGAAAAATACCAGCGTTACGGTCCACATGGCCATGAACTTTAAATTTGACCTAATTTGCAAAATATACTGCAGAATGTTAAATTTACCTTATGTACTTTGAATTTAGAGAGGCAGGAATTTGATAATTAACATCTATACACGTTTGTCAGTTCATAACAATGCGCTTTAACATTGTATAAAATACAGTAACAGCCAAAAAAGCTTGAAATTTAAGTACTATGAAAATTCATTGGGATTGGTATTCCAAGATGGATAGTGTAGACTCAATCGCTAGCTTTTTTTCTAACGTGCGATGGAAAAGGGCGTGGTGATCCGTTTGAGTGTAGAATGTTTATGGCCTTGATATGAGTTCATTTCACAATCTTACAAGAGAGACAGAAAATGTGCTAAGTTTATTAGAAACTTGGTTCAAAACTACTGATGAGTAGCAGATCTGTTGTGTTTAACGAGTCCAAACTTTTGAAAAGTTTTGTTACAAAGGACAAACATGTCATTAACTTAGATGACAAAGAAAATGAGTTCAATGAGGAAGACATCAAAAATATGCTAGAGAATCACTGTAAATATAAAAAAGTAAATGTAAAATACTTCGAGGATTTAGAGCTACCACGCAGATTACCAATGTTCCCACTGCTGTGTCGAATATTTTCATCTGATAAAAAATATCAGGTTATGGGGAAGATTTTTTTTATCCACCCATACAAGTCTATAGTTTATGAACTTGATAGAATGCGAGAGCTTAACAAAACTTATTATGCTGGATTGGTGTATTGTATCATGAAAGACAATTTTGTCTGTCTACAGTCTCTAGACAGACAATGTCTGAATGATGTGTACAAATGTTGTAGATTAGACAACTCAACACCAGACTCGGAATTAACACAGGCAATGACAATCTTACATGTAAAAGGATCATATCTAATGAAGGATACAGATGGTATATATTTTTTTATTCATGACAGCTTGTTTGAAATAATTGCAGTTCACTTTGGAAGAAGTTTTCAAGACTGTCTCATCAAACATTGTACATCTAGATCTATTTACAAACTTTTAAAATTTGGAGACTGGGCGATAATAAATAAAAATCTTATCCAAATCGTTGAGGTACACTTCCCTATATTGGTGGAACGTATCATCCGTGACATAAAACAGTTCTACTTATACGAAGTATTTAGCAGTATAGGACATGTGTCAGGGAATGAACTTTTCGTTGCTGTATTTTGTAGATATTTGAAAAGATTGAGTTATGATGAAATCATACATTTGCTTTTTGACGTCAAAACTTGCGAACAGCTAGATAAAAGGACTAAAACTTTAGTGCTTGAAATACAAAAAAATGGGAAAAAATGCTTGAAGAACAAAAATTATCTGCAATAGATTCAAAATATTATGTTTTAAAAGAGTGTCACAGAGTAGTTAACTGGATAATTGCATATAATCACATTAACTTGCTTTCTGGTATCCTAGACATTATCAAGGGAAAAATCGAACTTTCCAAAGCAACAGACTGTATCAACACTATATCGAGCAACATTTTAGAAATTGTATTTAACAATGATCTGAAATCACAGTCTCTTTGTTTCAACTTGGCATGTTCTAGTAGTAGTCTGGCTATGGTAGAACTTGTATCAAGTCACGTAAATCCAATGTGTATAAATCACATTGTTCAAATTGGTGAAAACAATTTCTGGCATTTATTGTTTGCTTCGTGGTCTGGTTGTAATGATATTGTAAACTTTTTGATTAAAAAAGGAGCAGACGTCAATTTGTGTGATGGGAATCAAAATTCGAGTCTGTATGGATCGTGTTTGTAAAGTCATTACGACATAGTGAAAACTTTAATCAAACATGGGGCTATAGTTAATATGTGTGCAGCAAACGGCACCTCCCCGCTGTCTGCTGCAGCATTAGGAGGTGATACAGCAGAGTGAAACTCCTTATTGAGAACTGTGCCGATATTAATCTCTGTAACAAGGAGGGGTTATCTCCACTATGTTATGCATCGCATTTCGGCAACCTAAATGTATTGAAATATCTGATTGACAGTGATAGCAATGTGACTGTTGGTGCCAATTGTCCATCTACTGATTCTAATCTTCCCTCTAATAGTGAAGCAGATAGAGGTCTGGCAAGGATTCTTGCTTATGGTTCTACTCTCATCGTGCTGCAAGTTCAGGCCATCTGAATATTGTCAAATATCTGGTAGAGCACGGCGCTTATATTAATTTTATAAATTCATCCTTTGTAAATCCACAGAGAATAAACATTTACACATAATTCGACACCTTGTAAAACACGGTGCAGATATCAATCAAGGTTCCTCTGGTGACATATTTGAGTCTCCTTTGTGCTGCGCTTCAAGCAAAGGGTACCGGGAAATTGTGGGAGAACTGATCAAACTTGGTGCTGATGTCAATCTCTGTGACCTTAAAGGAGATTCAAAATTTGGTCATATGGAGATTGTAAAGTTTTTGTTACAGACTGGTGCTGATATAAATGTTGGAGCAAGTTGCCTATCCTCTGCCTGTGAAGGTGGTCATTTGAATATTGTAAAATTTCTTACTGATAAAATAAATGTAAATAGGGTCGATACCATGTGTGAACCTCCACTGCATTGTGCTTCTGGTCAAGGACATCTTGATATTGTAGAATACCTGGTAGAACATGGAGCTGATATTAATTTAATGAGTTCAGCTAACATTAGCCCTATCTGCTCTGCCACACAAAATGAACAGTGACAAGTAATTCGATACCTTGTAGAACACGGAGCAGATATCAATCTTGGCACTTCTGGTGAAAAAAACGCGTCTCCGATGTGCTGTGCTTCAGGTAAAGGTAATATGGAATTAGTGACAGAACTGACCAAACTTGGTGCTGATGTCAATCTGTGTAACAACTATGGATTATCTCCACTGTGCTTCGCATCACAGTTTGGTCATAAAAAAATTGTGAAGTTTCTACTACAGAATAATGCTGAAATCAATGTTGGTGCTAGTTGCTTATCTTTTGCTTGTGAAAGCGGTCATTTAGATCTTGTGAAATTTCTTATTGATAAGATAGATGTTAACAAGGTCAATAACAATTGTTATCCAGCTCTTACTTCCGCTTCTTGTCAAGGGCATCTTGATATTGTGGAGTATCTGGTAGAACACGGAGCTGAAGTTAATTTAATGAGTTCATATAATGTAAATCCACTTTACTCCGCCACAGCATACGGACAGATTCACATTATTCGATACCTTGTAGAACACGGTGCAGATATTAATCAAGGTTCTTCTTGTGACATGAACGGCTCTCCCTTGTGCTGTGCTTCAAGCAAAGGTTATCTGGAAATTGTGAGAGAACTTATCAAACTTGGTGCTGATGTCAATCTCTGTAACCTTAAAGGCCATTCTCCACTTTGCTATGCATCAAGATATGGACATTTGGAAATTGTAAAGTTTTTGCTACATAATGATGCTGATATAAATATTGGTGCTAGTTGTCTATCTTCCGCTTGTAAAGGCGGTCATTTAAATGTTGTGAAATTTCTTATTGACAAGATGGATGTTAACAATGTCAGTGACATTTGTGATCCTCCACTACATTGTGCCTCTGTTCAAGGTCATATCGAAGTTATTGAATATCTTGTAGAAAATGGAGCAGATGTTAACTTGCTAAGTTCTTCAAAGGATAGTCCACTGTGTTGCGCTGTAGAAAACGGACATTTTCCTATAGTGGAGTGTCTTGTTAAACATGGTTCAGACATAAACAAGGCTGTAGAAATTGCAATGGAATGTGGTCAAGAAGTTATTTTAGATTATATGTTGAAGCATTTAAACTAGGAAACATCTAATAAGATTATCCGAACTTTGCTTAGTTTGACACAATTTCTTTAATTTTGTTTCTCTTTTAACGTATTTTATGCTTTATAAAAATATTACCTGTGATATTTGAGATTTCAAATATTGAACAAGAGATATGTATTGTATAGAAAATTGTATTAATACATAATGATGATTTTCTGTATAAATCAAACAGAAAAGGAGTTTATAGCCCAAACTGTAAAGAAAGATAAATGGTAAACTTACTAGATGAAACAATATCAGAAAAAAACTGAAATTCAACTTTGTTAATGACTCATTATGCACGAAAAAAAACGAAAATGATTTTCGATAAAAAAAATTATGAGTTATAATGCTACAAACTCCTTTCTTCCTAAAGTTAAATTGTCAAAAAATTGTTAATGAACATTCTGTAATAGTGAAACAGACAATATGTGACTAAATTTTGAAAAGACTCAATACAATGATTTAATGTCATCGAATTTACAAATAAATTTTTTAATAATTTACATAAAGTTTATATAAAATTGTATTCTGCTCATAATTTTACGCAAAGTGTGTTTTTGTAATTTAACATGTCGTTAAATCCAAATTGATACAATTTACAATATTTTTTTTCAAAATCTTCCTGATATAATGTTTAAAAGAAATGTTGTGTTAATGGACAGGCCCCATTACCATAAACTGAAAATACACTAAAGTTTAAATTTTGATTCCAAATAAATTAAGATTTATTCAACATGTGTTCTTAAAATTTAGCAGTTTTGTATAACATTCAAATTCTAACAAATGAAGCATATTTGGTTACATTATAATTTTTTTTTTCTCCAAAGTTATATTGATTTGAACTTTTGCCTTAAGTCTATTCTCAGTTTATGTTCATAAGGCCAGGACATGCGCAAAATTATTAAACTTATGACATAAAATAATTGACGGTATCGTGCAATAACAGGTGGAGTAGAGAGGGGAAGGAGGCGGGATCTCTTTGTTTGAAAACGACATATATGGCATTTGACTCCGTGAAAAGAGCTTACTGACAGAAATTTTAAAACATTAAAAATCGCCTACTTCACAATCACATTACAGATTGTACATTCTTAAAAGCGGTAAGTACAAGCCAAGATCACCAAAGTGTGTTGACAACGTTCCATTACTAACGAAAATTAAGGTTATTTACTAACAGTGAAAATGTAGGTTTCCATTCAATATGTATGTAGCCAGGTCTTAGACCTTAGATCCACCTATTTGTGGGTAGTGTCTTCATTGTTTGCATGTCTTCACTGTCGTTGTCACATGATCAAGTATGATAGAGAGAAAGGGGTGTTAAAAGAGAGAGAGAGAAAAAAATTGTGTTCATTACTAACAAAACCCGTTATAAACTACCTGCCGGTCCATACCAATGCACACCGTCATGGTATAAGCACATAGTATAATGATGTAGACTGGGAAGGTGTATATAATAGTTACTTATATATTCTTAATTCAGATTTTCCAGTTACATATATATTTTTGTAATTCAAATGTTGATGATTGATTTGTAAAACAGATATTTTCAGTTATTGAACTGCGTGTAAAGTATGAATGTTTATTATCTTGTTTAAATGTTGTATTTTTTCCCTAGATACTAGTATATTGAATATGAAACCCGAGAATATTGCTCTTTTCTCTACCGACGGGTTAAATGTATATGAAAAATAGCAATGTTTTTCGCATTATTGATCATACAAAAGTTTCAACATGTTCAGTACAATGTAACCTCGCAAGCTCAAACATTGCATAAACATAATGTTACATGTACAGACGCGTGCCAAAAGAAAACAAACTTTTCTCGTCTTTCGTACAATTCCGCTCACACAGATAAAAATATACATATGTATGTGCGTTTTTCTCGGTCTAAAATCAAACGTTATACCTCTTGAAGTGCAAAGTCATAGTTATGATGTTGTAGTCTGACCATTTAGGTTACTGGTAGCGTTTTTGCTGTTCTGTAGCTATTTGCACAAGAATTGCAGGAAAAAGGCAATTGCTGATTTACATAGAGCAGCCATCAAGGGTTTAGGGAAAGCTAAGAAAACGGAACATTCACTACCAACTATGCATTATTAGTTATTCAGACACTCAAATCTGTAATACAGAAATACATGTATGTGGGTTCCTTGGATAAAAAATGCATATTGGGCGAGGCGTAAGCCAAGCTAAATAATTATTTTTTCAAGGACCCCACATATTTTCGTATTACCCCTCTAAGCGTCTAAATAAGGAGTTTATCCTGTCGATGATTTTTTAGTGAGTTATTTTTTCTGAGTTAGCAAATCGTTCTGTAACTGTTGTTTACATTGTGGCGTCTTATAAAGTTTGCTAGTATAAGTGGTGGGGGTATTGATTTGATGTGTGGTCTGTACATATGTAGGTCACATGGAGGGGCACAAATAACCTCAATATTAGAATTTAAATGAATTCAGACCTCAGACTGTGTCAAAACGGACAATAATTATTAAAGTTAAACACATGAAGAATAACTTTGAAATTTAGATGTAAGATAAAAGCTATATCAGAATATGTGCAGAGAATATGAAAAAACGACTTGCATGGTACAAACCGACCAGGGAGAAGACTGTAGATGAACACTAGTACTGGAAAAAAAGTTATCATTAGTGACGAATATAAGGTGAAATTGGATATGGATAAACAATTTACTGTTTAGAGATGAAACGAAAGAAGTACAAGTGCAGCCCACCTCAAAGTATGGCTTACAAAAACCTTTAATCCAACGTTCATGTAACAGGTCGGGTACATTATATTATAAGGGAAGCATCTGTAACACATGACGAAGTCTTTGTCATTCCCTTACTACAATTACTTGAATGAGCCCAAGAACATGACAGTTTACTACTTGTTTAAGTTTCAATAACATAATAATGGTTCTCCAAAGGCCGTTTAACAGTTGAAATCCTAAGTACTACAGTTATAAAATCAGCACCAAAGTTCCATCACAGTTAAAATATTAACACCACAGTAAGATTGTCGTTGTGAGTACGACACATATATGAATTAATGGATCAAATAAACTATTAGACCACTAAATTATATACTGTTTTCAGTTTCTAATGCTTAACTGTTAATCTACTCTAATTAGGGACCATTGTTTGACTTGTGAAATCAATTATCTTCTAAACCTCGCTGGAATTTGATGAAGCCCTTTTTTCACACAAAAAGGATATTTTGATTTAAATATCAATATGCTAATGCAGTTATACATTGAATTTACACAAAACATTGTTATATGTTTCATGCAAAAATCTTGATAATCCTCCATCATACTAATGTTTTTTCTTCATCCTATAGATATGGTCCTGCTGGATACATTATTACTAGAGACTTTAATAAAGTTAATAATGATGACCTTAGATCACTTCTTCAAAAGTTCCTAAATATAGGGACCCTGATCCTTCAACTGATGTCGATATCTCAAAAATTCTGTTGGATAATGCGCATGGCCATCGGCCAGACATGAAAAATAAGACGTGAAAATAAGAGTTTCTTAGAATGAAACATATGGATATAACGAACTGTATTCAAGATCAAAAGTCCATAAAACAATACAAAACAAGAGCAGAGAAAACACAGACCTCCAAACCATCAGAGGTCAGAACAGAGGTTTATGACACAGGAATATTAGTATTGTCATTTAAAGTCATCATTTCGTAAGATCTTGGTTCGATACAAAGACCTTGTCAGCAAATATATTTGGCTGTTAAGACAAATGCTAACTTACATTTTCATATTAATTGATATGCTATTTTACATAGTTACAATTTTGAATTGTTTAATGGAATTTTGAGCTTGACTATTATTGGTGATATCCATGTATATCATGATAAAATCCTTTAAAAAACTGAACACAACTTGCACAATAAAGTGGTTTTGTTTCACATGGTTAGTTTTATCAAGATTGTCGTTTTTTTATCCAAGCGCTAAACACATGTATTTAGCCCCCCCCCCCCCCCCCCCCCCGAGTTTAAATTTATTTTGTTCTCTTTATTAAAGACTTCGCGACAAAAATGACTTTTTTTTTTGCCTCTGAGTTGTAAGAAAAATGCCAAAGATATACCATATCAGTTACTTTCATCAGTACTATATTAGTTACACAAATCAAAACATTACAAAGTAGAATAAAAAAATATTCTCCATGGAATAAAAAAAAAAAACAAAAAAAAAAAAAACAAACAATGTCAAATATATGATAACATCAGCAGGACCAATCAGTTAAATGTAACAAATGCTGAGAGTTTAGGGACACAGTGTAGACATGCTAAACAGAAAAATATGGGTTTTTCTATTTGCGAATTGTGTTCAGTTTAAAGTTTTGACTCATTGTACGCGGAATCTGGCTCTGACACTAATATGGAGATGATGATATTTATGAATGAGACTATATAGTCATCCACTTTGACAGAATATTTGGATTCATTCAAGATACAAAATGAGACTATTGATCAGCTCACTATTGTTCTAGCGGCAACACACAAAATCTTATCCTATGTATTTGAACTATACACCCCAACCATATACTACATTTCAGTACTGAAGTGAAATTGAAACTTGTCTGATAAAAGTATTTTCTTGTGCTTAGTTAAAAAAAATATTATGTTGCAGTTTGCTTTCTCTCAAGTTTCACTGGACCTAGCTAATCTAATATTTATTCTTCAGTTAATCTCTTCCAAGGTGAAATAAATCTCCTCTTCAAAAGAAATACATAATCGGACCAAACCCTGACAAATATGAGATGGTTTTGTCCTACAATGGATATGAGTTATTTGCATAGACTGTGGGATTCACATTACTGTTTCTTATCTCCATAGACGTCATTATTCACGCATTGTTAACTGTACAGCTTTTCTATAAATCTCAGAGACCAATAGATGTTAAAGAAAATGTTTCACATATTTTGTGATTTCTAATGCAATTATTTAAAGTTTAAAATGACAATCAAAGACTTG